TGGTGCTTTTCATAGAATCATGGAATGTTTGGACTTGATGAGCTTCAAAGTCTCTTCCTGCCAAAACGATCCTATGATTAACACAATTCCAAGGTTAGCCAGGAGCCCCTGGGCACCCCCCTGCTGCTCTCTGAGGTGGTGAGGACAGGCACTGGAAGTCCCTGACCTCAGCCCGTGCTGGAGCAGCTTTCACTGCCAGGTTTGGCTGCAGGGACAGAGTCAAGGCTGAGCTGCTTCCACTGATAAGATCTCACAGCTGGCGGGTGGCCCTGGGCACCAGACAGATCATGTCTGCGGTGGATGAGCTGGATCCAGGAGCTGCCAGCAGCCAGCATGCACCTCTCTGTGGCGGTGTGGCAGGACAGCAAGTGGCTGCTGAGGGTATTGGCCCTTTTGGGGAATCCTCTGGCCAGGTGATGGGAGTGCAAGTGGCCAGAGACCCAGTGCTTTAGGTGGAAAACTGAGGAGAACGGATTAAAGTGGGAGCTGTGGGTTGTTGTGGGGGAACAGGCTGATGCAGGGGAGACCCTCTGTGAAAGGGCACTGAAAATGCTGCCACATGTGGCAGAGCCAGAGGGTTGGACAGAAAAGGCTCCGGGGAGCTCCTGGTGGGCACAGCAGGACCCTGCGGGTCGGTGGCACTTGGGGCACGTTGGGGACACAGCCTGTTCACCCACCCTGCTGAGGTCGGTGGGCTTTGGCTGTGGGACCCACCTGCAGGACCAAGAGGTGTTGGGGCAGACACCCAGCTGGGGTGTGCCCAGCTCTGCATGAGGAACTGGTGCTGGAGGCATCCAAAGAGGTGACTGAATTGTCAGCCATGGTGGCACTTCAGGGCCAGAGACGTGTACAGGAAGGTGGAAAGCAGGAGAGTCTAAGCCCTTGCATAAGAAAACATCACTCAGGTTTTGCATGATGACTAAACCCTGGGGCTGGGGAATCCCTGGGAGTGACCAGGCTGAAGCCAGCCCTGCCCCAGAGCAGCACTGCCAGCTGCTGGCTCCTCTTTACTCACCCCATTTTCCCCTTCTTCAGGCCGTGGCAGCGAAAGTGGGGATGGACAGTATTACTGCCAACTACTTCGCCTTGTTTGAAGTGATCAATCACTCCTTTGGTAAGTCTTTGGATCTCCCCAGTGCTGAGGAAGCTCCACAGGGCTGGCAGAACCTGTGCCACTCTCACCGAGCTCAGCTCAGGGCATCAGGAGTGGGGCAGGGACGGGCTGCGATCACACGGAGCCCTCACAGTTTGGTGGCTTTTGCTGCTGCTTGACTCACTTTCCCTTTCCTAAGCAGCTCAAGGAGATGAGTTTGGTGTTAAACTTTAGTTCAAAGGATCCAGCAAGCTTAGGAAAAGTCATGCAGCGTTGCTGTGACGTGGCCAGATGTGGGGAGGGGGCACTGACTGCGGCGGGGGCTGGATCGAGGGCACCTGGGTGTGGGACACAAAGGTGTAGGGGGTGTGTGGGTCCAGGGAGGGTGTGCTGCAAGCTGCATCTCAGCTTCTCCCCTCCCCTTCTGTGGTTATGTCCCGGTGGTATTTGAGGCTGGACTGAGGGATTCTGGGTGATGGTTTTGGCACTTAAGTCATCTCCATCCCTCCAGCTCAGCACGTGCTGGGGTCTCCTGGCTGCTGCTCAGGTCCCTGCCCACAGCGACCTCTCATTTCACAGTGGGTTTGCCAAAGCTGTGGAAAGACCAAAATGCTGTGGTCACACCACAAAATGGGTGTTGTGGTTGGTTTGGGGTTTAATTTTTCTCAGTACTGGGTTTTAAGCCAAGTGTGTTTCTCATTCCCAACTGAGAACCTTCATTTCTGCATCATGCCTCAAACTCCTCCTGTTGTTACAGCAAATTGTGCCTTGTGCACAGAGATTTTTGGGGCTGTTCCTTGTGTTCACAAGGTTCTGGCTGAACAGCTGGGGCAATTTTTGGCTTCTCAAAGCCCTCCCAGAATGACTCATCTGACAGAGCAGGCTGGGTTTGCATTCAGACACTGGCCCTGGGGCAGCTGAGATCACCAGTCTCCAGTAAAAGTGTTGGCAGCACAGAACTGCCTCTGTCACTGGTTTGTGGTTGATTTTTGGAGGGCTCCTGGGTGCTGGTGTGACCGAGCAGGACATGGACACAGGGAGGGAGTCCAGTTAACCTTTATGGCTGGTGCTTTCTGAATGCTTGCTGTGAACATCCATGTTTGTTCCTGTCTGGACACAACAGGGGCAGCGAAGCAGAGGAAGGGTCCAGAGCCCAAGTGTGGGGAGGAGCAGCGGAGGGAGCTGGGGCTGCTGAGCCTGGAGCAAAGGAGGCTCAGGGGAGACCTTCTGGCTCTGACACCTCCTGACAGGAGCCTGGAGCCAGGGGGGGGTCGGGCTCTGCTCCCAAGGAACAAGCCACCGGACAAGAGGAAAAGAGGAAATGGCTGAAGTTGCCCCAGGGGAGGTTTCAGTTGCCCCTGAGGAACAATTTCTTGCCCTGGAGGGTTGCCCAGGGCTGTGCCAGGCTGCCCAGGGCAGTGGTGGAGTCCCCACCCCTGGTGGGGTTCCCAAGCCGTGGAGATGTGGGGTGAGGGACACGGGGCAGTGGGGACCTGGCCGTGCTGGGGGCACGGGTGGGCTCCAGGAGCTGGAAGGTGTCTGCCAACCCAAACAATTCCATGATTCTATGATATGCTGCATTTGATTTCTCTGGAGCCTCTCAGCTCTGGGCAGGAAGGCGGTGACTACATCCCCACCTGATGGAGGTGTCCTGGTACCTGCCTTTTTCTGTCCATGGTAGCTGGGTAAAGCAGATTTGAACACAATAAGCATCTTCAGGAGCTTGTTGGTGGCCTGGCTGCTCCAGCTGGCCTGAGCTGTGCAGCAGGTTCTGTCCAGGATGGGGGGGACCTTCTGCAGTGCCCCCAGGCTGCGGGGCCAGCGCGTGGGCCCAGGCGCTGGGGTCTGAAGGCTCAGGCAGGGTGAACCTTGGAGAGCTGTGCTGGGAGGAGCTCGCTGCCACCCAGACTCCTGCCTGGGCTCCAGGGGTGAGGGACTGGCCTGGGCATGAGGAGAGCTGGGGCTGGGGGAGGAGGAGGGGCTGGAGCAGGGAGCAGGGCTGACCCCAGCCCCAGCTCACCCCCGTCTCCCGCCTCTTCCAGTGCGCAAGCTGGCACCCAACGAGTTCCCCCACAAGCTCTATGTGCAGAACTACACCTCAGCTGTGCCAGGGACCTGCCTGACCATCCGGAAGTGGCTCTTCACCACGGAGGAGGAGGTTCTTCTCAACGACAACGACCTGGCAGTCGCCTACTTCTTCCATCAGGTAGGTGCCCGGGCGCCGCCGTCGTTGCCCTGGCGTTCAGGCGGCTCTGAGGACTGCTCTGAACTCCACCACCCTTCCCTGCCCCGAGCAGGGAGTGTGAGGCTGAGGGTCAGCCCTGCTCGGGTGGCTGGAAGGAGCAGGAGCCCTTGGTTTGGCTGCCAGGCAGGACTCCTGCCACGCAGAGAGCCGGCAGGATCGTGGGAGGCTGCACCCCTGGGGGTGGATTTGTTTTCCTCAGTTGTGCGTGCGGGCAGTGAAGGTGGGGAGCAGGCTTCTCCCTGTTCACCCCAAGGAAAGGGGATGTTTCTGCCTGTGGTTTCACTTTGTGCAGATTCTCTGGGATGAAGTGAGTCCGAGAAGAGCCACGTTCTCCCATTGCCTGCATAAAGCCAGTCTAGGATGACCAGCTCAGAGGTAGATATCTGCAAAGCGCAGTAAGATGAATCCTGCTCTGTCTTAGCCACCAAAACTGCTGTCCCAGCACCCTCCAAACTGAGCCTCTACCAGCCTCGGCTACAAATCAAAATCAAACCAGTAGTTGTCAAATTCTTGGATGTCCTAGACTGGATCTTCACTGGCCAGCAGCTTTACGAGCTGCTTCGTGCCAGGGGCAGGAGTCCTGGCTGAGGAGCGAAAGGAAAGGGCTGTGTATGTACAATCCTGAAGGAAAAACCATGTTTTCCTGCACCACACTCCAGCAGCAGGTAAAAGCAGACACTGCTCCCAGTGTCCCGAGCAAAGGGTGGTGCCAGCCTGGCCTTGTCTGTGGCAAGAGCAGGATTCCAGGTACCAGCATTTCCAGATCCATCCTCTTCTGCCAGGGAATGTTCTTCCAAAGCCCACCTGGATGCTTAAGCATCTAGATGCTCCCTAGGGTGGCCAGAGGCTCGTGGCTGGAGTTGGTGAGTGTGAAGAGCCACCTCCCCGCCCACCCCTCTGCCTCTCTGGGGACATCAGTCACCTCTGGGGCCGTGAGTTTGGGTGGCTGTTCAGAGCAGCCTCAGGGCCAGCCAGGGAGAGCAAAGGGCTCTGACTCTCCTCTAGTCTGACCTCCTGGGTTTCCCTTCCCTTCTTCTGTTTAGGCTGTTGATGATGTCAAGAAAGGCTACATCAAAGCAGAGGAGAAGTCCTACCAGTTACAGAAGCTGTGTGAGCAGAGAAAGATGGTCATGGTGAGTTTTCCTACCTGTCCTCTTGGCTTTCCTTCCTGTTTACAGTGCTGTGTCTGGAAAGGAGACACTGGAACAAGGCTGCCCAGAGAAGCTGTGGATGCCCCATCCCTGGAGGTGTTCAAAGTCAGGTTGGACAGGGCTCTGATCTAGTTGAAGATGTCCCTGCCCAAATCAGGAGGTTGGACTTAGAAGATCTTTGAAGATCCCTTCCAACCAAACCCTTCTGTGAAGCTGTGGATGGGGCTTTGAGCAACCTGATCTGGTGGAAGATGTCCCTGCTCATGGTAGGAGGTTGGACTAGATGGTCTTTAAGGTCCCTTCCAATGCAAATCATTCTGTGATCTTCAAAGATGCCTTCCAACCCAAAGCTTGCACGCAGCCTTGCAGGGCTCCCCTTCCTTGGGAGGAGCAGCCATGGAGAGCAGTGGGGGGTGGCCACCCCAAAACACTGGGCACAGGGCTGGGCCCTGCACGAGCCAAACCCACCCTCGTGCCTGACACGTTTGAGCCACAGCTTCTCCTTGGCCAGGTCTGACTTGTAAATGGCTCCCTGGGTTGCTCAGGGCTGCTGGTGAGCACTCAGTGCCCTCACCCTGCCTGTGTCCTCCTGGCCAGCTGGGCTGCTCCTGAAGAGCAGCAGCCCTGGGATCCCCTTCTTCAGCTCAGCTGCTCCCAAAGAGCAACGGCCTCAGGATCCTCTGCTGCAACCTGTTTGATTGTGGTGGCTCTCAGGGGTCCCTGCTGGGGACTACCTTAGGATGGACCCCAGAAGGGTCACCTGAAATGCTGAGCCAAGAAGGTTAATGATTAACCCATGATAAGGATCAGTAAATAGACACTTGCTCCTGTGGGTTCTCTCGCAGCTGTCTTGTTTCTGCTCCACTCACTGGCTTTCTAATGACCAAAGAAAGATCTGGATCTTTGGGCAGGGTGTATCCCAGCAGATCTATAGCTATATCTCATCCAGAGAAGGGCCACAAAGCTGGTGAAGTGTCTGGGGAACATGTCTTCTGAGGAGCAGCTGAGGGAACTGGGCTTGTTTAGCTTAGAGAAGAGGAGGCTGAGGGAAGACCTTTATTGTTCCTAAAACTCCTTGACAGGAGATTGGAGTGATGTGGGTGTTGGTCTCTTCTCCCAAATAACCAGCAACAGGATGAAACAAGCTGAAGTTGCCCCAGGGGAGGTTTCAGTTGGATATCAGAAAGAATTTCTTTCCTGACAGAGTGGGGAGGGATTGGCCCAGGCTGCCCAGAGAGGTGCTGGAGTCCCCATCCCTGGAGGGGTTCAAAATACCTGTGGCCATGGCACTTGATGGGCTGGTCTGGTGCTCATGGTCGTGTTGGACTGATGGTTGGCCTTGATGATCTCAGAGGTCTTCTCCGACCTGAATGAATCTATGATATATAGACAAACACACCAGGTGCAGCAGGGTCCTGGTCGAGCAGGAGGTCAGGATGACAACATCTGTGTCCTAAAGAGCCTGTGAAGTCAAAGTCCTTCACCCTCTGCCTCCCCTCGTGTTGTTAAGGGTCCTGCCTGGAGCACACCTGAGCGTTTGGCCCCTTCCTCCAGTCTGGGTGTGGTGTGTTCCCCAGTGAAAAAGTCACGTCAGGCTTTGTTGTCGTTCTGCCCTGCATGCTCTCCTCATGCAGCAAGAGTCTGTGGGACCCTGCAGAAGCTCCTGGAAAGGGCTCAGGGTGTGCAAGGCCGTGAGGAGCTCCCTGTGTGTCCGGGGGGCATGGGGGGGGGTCT